AAGTCGTGATGATGGTAGTTATTTAAAGCAGAAGGGACTGCTGTATGGCATCATCTTACTAAAAGGACCTGGAATTTAAAGGGATTTGGTGCTGGGAGCCACGTATGAGGGAGAACATACATCGTATTTTTTTTTTTTTGAGTCTGTGTTACTTCACTTAGTATAACAGTTTCTAGATCCATCCATTTACCTGCAAATTTCATTATTTCATCTTTCTTTACCGCTGAATAAAACTCCATTGTGTAAATATACCACAACTTTGCTAACGACTCATCAGTTGAGGGATACTTAGGTTGCTTCCATCTCTTAGCTTTTGTGAAAAGAGCAGCAACAAACATGGTTGTACAAGTGTCTCTACGATAGGATGAGTCCTTTGGGTATATGCTAAGGAGTGGTATAACCGGATCATTTTTAGTTCTTTAAGAGTTCTCCATACTGTTTTCTATATAGGCTGTATGAGTTTACAATCCCACCAGCAATGAATGAGTGTTCCCCTTTCTCCACATCCTGGCCAGCATTTGGTATCTTTTATTCTCTAGATCCTAGCCAGTCTGATTGGGGCAAGGTGATACCTTAGGGCAGTTTTAATTTGCATTTCCCTAATTACTAACAATGTTCAACACTTTTTGAGATGTTTCTTAGCCATCTTTATTTCATCCTTTGAGAACTCTCTGTTTAGATCTTTAGCCCATTTTTTTTTTTTTTTTTTTGTTTTTTTGAGCAAGGGTCTTCCTGTGGCCCCAGCTTTCCTGGAACTCACTATGTAGACCAGGCTGGCCTTGAACTCACAGAGATCCGCCTGCCTCTGCCTCCCGAGTGCTGAGATTAAAGGTGTGTGCCACCAGGCCTGGCTTAGCTCATCTTTTAATTGGGTCATTTGGTTTCTCACGTCTTTGTTTTTTCAGTTCTTTATGTATTCTAGATGTTAAACCTCTGTCAGATATGTCACTGGTGAATATTTTTTCCCATTCTCTGGGTTTTCTCTTCACTTTTTTGATTGTTTCTTTTGCTGTACAGAAGCTTTTTAGTTTAATGAGGTCCCACTTATTGATTGCTGACCTTAATTTCTGAGCAACTTTACAGAAGCTTCTTAAAGTATATATACATTATAAAAAGAGATTAAGAGGAGGACATTGCTCATAGTAGACACCATAGGCTAATAAAATAAAAGCCCAATGCCAGGAATGGACTCCCTCTCTGGAAGCTGTTCGCCAAGGGCCTCATAGACCCTCAAACACTATATTTAAAAAATATTTTATTTATTATTTTTATTTTATGTATTTGAGTGTATTACCTGCCTGTCTCTAAGTGCACCCATGTCGTGCAATGCCTGTGGAGGTCAGAAGAGGATATCAGATCCCCTGGTACTGGAGTTAATGGACAGTTATTAGCTGCCATGTGGGTGCTGGGAGTTGAACCCGCATCCTCTGCAAGAATAGACAACGCTTTTAACCACTGAGCCGTCTCTCCAGTCCCAAATACTACAGTTTTTAAAAAGAGTAAAACTTGGGACATTTTGAGGCCTTAAAAAATTTAAAGACTTAGCGGGGCATTGTGGCACATGCCTTTAATCCCAACACTCGGGAGGCAGAGGCAGGCAAATCTCTGTAAGAGTGAGGCTAGCCTGGTGTACATAGTGTGTTCCAGGCCACTTGGGGTACAGAGAGACCCTGTCTCTAAAGCAAAAAAAAAAAAAAAAGATTAAAGACTATTTTATTTATGTGTGTTTATGTGAGTATATGCCACTTGTGTGGGGGTGTCTGCAGGGAGGCAGAAGAGGGTATCAGATCTCTTGGAACTGGAGTTAAAGGTGCTTATGAGCTGCCCAAACTGAGTTCTGGTGCTCTGAAATGTTGGTAAGTGCTCTTCACCACTGAGCCATGTTGCCAGTTCCAATTTTGACAGCTTTTAAAGACAGCTTATGTTGCATAAAATGAAATTTTAAATTATTTTGAACTTCTTTGTTATGTAGTAACTCTACGTACTCTGATTGTTCTTATAAAGACAATGTGATGAAGCCTGTGTTGAGAGTCTTTTTTTTTTTTTTTTTTTGAACAGAAGATTGAGTGCCTACTGTGTAGTTAGGCAGTGTTTCAACTATGCTAAAGTAAAAAAAGTTCCAGTGCTGTGTATAGTCAGATAAACAGCTAGTACTGTAGGTCATGCAATCAACAGAGCAGAGGTGTAGAGGGCATTGATGAGCGCAGACAGGTTGCTTTTTGGCCACCAGAAAATGCTTCCTTGAGAAGGTTTTGGAGCTGAGTTCTGGGCAGCCTGACAAAGCTCTGGAGGAGTGTATGGGTATACTGTAAACTTTTGTAGATGAAGGTTTTCACTTCAGGAATTTTTTATTTTTTCACCATGGTACTATGGAAAAAGGCTAAGAAAAAGTACAGGAAGGAAGGAAGGTAACCCAGAAGTTCAGGCAGCATTGTACCAGTGCCTATCGTGGACCCTTTATTGTTTGTTTGCTGTTGGTTTTGTATTTTTGTTTCATTCATGTCACGTTTTTGGGATTATGACATTTTTGGTTTATGTCTTTTGAGTCTTATAATATTCTGTACATTACAGTTGCTCAGCAAACAATTTCAGATACATGAAGGTACAGTGTTCCATTGGGAAAGCCAGTTCTAATTTAAAAACTCTGAAAACGAAAAGTTTCTAGTTGCTGCCAAATCAACATAGATCATCCCTTTTCTTGCTCAGAGTACACATTGTGCTTGGAATTATTTTACAAAGTCATTTATAGCAGAACTTCTATAAGTCTACTAAATAACCACATGTTCTGTCAATTGTGTTACAGAGTTACAAATTCTGTCAAGGAAAATTACAGTTGATTTTAGATCAGTTGGATCCTGGGCAACCTAAGGAGGTAAGTTTGAAGGATAACTGTTCTGGTTCTCTCAGATACTGTGTGTTTAGAATATTTGAGACTGCAGCCAGTAGTAGCTGGGATGTTTTTCTAGGTGCTAGGCCTTTATTGTTACGGGCAGTCCTAGGCTGGTATCCCTGGTAAACTTTCCAGTCTGAAACGAACGCAGACCCATTCACTCCCTTTCTTTGTTCCATTTCCCCCTTCTTTCCTTTTTTCCTCCTTTCCCTTCCCTCTCTCCCCCCTCCTTCTCTCCCTCCTGTCTTCCCTCCCTTTTATTTTCTTTCTGTGTGTATATATCTGTGCATGTGTGTGAAGGCCAGAGGTCAATATCAGTGTTTTTGTTGCTTTCTACCTTATTTTCTTTTCAGATAGGGTCTCTCACGGAACCTGGTGTTCACTGACTGGATGGTCAGTGAACTCCTGATTTCCTTCTGTTTCTTCCCTCTTCCTGAACACTAGGGCTACAGATGTGCAACACTATGCCCAGCTTTTTATGTGGGTCCTGAGGATGTCAACTCGGATCCACATGCTTGTGTGGCAGCCATTTTATTCACCGAGCTATCCTCCCAGCCCCAGAAATACTGTATTTAGAGAATTGTAGTTAGAGGAACAGACATACACACACACAAACACTCTCCCCGCTACCTGTATTTTCTCTTAGCTTTAGTTTAAATGGATAAAATTATGTGCAGTTTTTTCACAGCTCCTTCACTGTTCCTTTGTAGTCTTTTTTTTTTTTTTTGGTCTTTTTGAGACAGGGTTGCCCTGTAGCCCCAGCTGACCTGGAACTCGCTATGTAGACCAGGCTGGCTTCGAACTCACAGAGATCTGCCTGCCTTTGCCTCCCAAGTCTGGGATTAAAGACATGCGCCACCACGCCCAGCCCTCCTTTGTAGTATTTTAATTGTTTAAAAATACTCAGTGCATTTTCTGTTTAGAAAATGTGAGCACCTATTGAAAGATCATTCTTAGTAGATAGCATGGAATATTTATCACTTACAATGTTTTGAAATATGTGTGTATTTCTGCACATACTTAGCTTTCTTAACTTTTTGAATGTGAATGGCCGCAATTTCTCCTGGCCATTTTTCAGGATAATTATACATTTCATGTAGTCACTATGTTGTATAATACAGGTCTTAAACTTTTTCTTTGTATCTGAAAATTTGAATTTGACAAATATCTCCCCAACTTTTTTACTTGAAACTTAGAAAATTTATTTTAAAAATGAGTTTTGGCCAGGAAGATGGCTCAGTAGGTAAAGCACTTGTCTCCAAGCCTGATGATCTGAATTTGATCCTTGGGACCCACTTGGTGGAAGGAGAAAACCAAATCATGCAAGTTGTCATATGATCTCCACATGTGCTCTGTGGTATGTGTGTGCCCCACACACATACATGTATACATATACACACAATAATAAAACCAACCATGGCTCAGGGACCATTGCAGAAGAAAGGGCAGAAAGATTTTTAAGAGCCAGGGTTTGTGCATGAACATAAGGAAACAGGCTTTCAGGCCTCTGGGAACTTGCTCATATGTACTTTGTAACAGTGGTTCTCACAACATACACAAGACCCGTGCTGACTCAATCAGAGAAAAACCCAGCATAGAACTGGGGAAATGGGTAGCAGGCCCCATCCTTAGGCAAGGAACTATTGGCAATTGATAACTTCTGGGTGAGGGAGTGTTGATCTTTTTTAAGGGAGTCACTCTAGATAGGCTGACTAGACTCCGTTGGATGAACTTGCACTGAGGGACATCTGGATACAAATGTTTGACAGGATAGGCTTTAACAGATATGACAGAATTCATGAAGTCTGGTGGTGGGGGCAATGGTGGGTGCAAATGGGACAGGAGGTTTAAACTTGATTAAGATCTATTTTATGAAATGCACAAAAACTCAATAAGAATATACATAAAAAATTTAAAGAAAGTTTTGAAGCAATTATATTGAATTAAGTTTGTTTAGGTTTTAAGAGATTTTAGAAATTACTACTTATGGTATTTTATTAAGATTCCAGTTTAAAATAGAAAGTACAGTAGGATTTTTGAAGATTTAAAAAATATTAAAGGTAAGGTTTTATTTTTAAGCTTTTTAACTACACATTTTGTATTTGTGTCAGAAATAAATTTAAAAAAAATTTTATTATTTTTATTTTATGTGTATGAGTGTGTTGCCTGCATGTATGTGAGTACACCTGTGTTGTGCAATGCCGTGGAGGTCAGAAGAGGGCTTCGGATTCCCCTGGAACTGGAGTTAAGGATGGTTCATAGCCACCATGTGGGTTCTGGGACTCGAACCTGAGTCCTTGCCAAGAGTAGTCAGTGCTCTTAACCACTGAGCCTTCTCCCCAGCCCCAGAAATAAATTTTTACTTTGTTTCCTAAAATACAATCTAATATGGTTTCATTGTTAAGAATACATAAGTAAACAGAGGAAAGAAAAGTCTGTGAGAAAATTTGTTGAGAACAAAATCATGTAAAGATTGTAAAGCCCAAGGGCTGGCGAGATGGCTCAGGGCTTAGGAACACTTGCTGTTCTTCCAGAGGACCTGGGTTTGATTCCTAGCACTCACATGGGGCTAACAACTGTCTACAACTCCAGTTCCTCCAACACCCTCTTCTGGCCTCTGTGGGCACTGCACAGCATGGGTATACTTACATACATGTAGACAAAACACTCATACACGTTAATAAAAAAATTCTTTTTTTTTTAAGGGTAGAAAGATTTATTTCAGCTCATGGTTTTAGAGAGTACAGTCTATCATAGAAGGGAAGGTAAGGCAGAGTTTATGGAGCCTTTTGACTGTGCAGTGCTTTTTAAATAAAGATTGTGAAGTCCAATGAAGCTTTTTTGTTTTCATGTTGTTGGTTGGTAGAAACAGGTTTTATGAAAGCAAGCAGATAAGAGGACAGCTGACTTTTAAAAATGCAGTGATACACAAGAATAGGTTAAAAAAAGGAAAGTTCACAGAGTAACTAAAAGCCATATTTGAGATTGCAAGGCTCAGAAGGGTACAGTGAGCCTGGAATACCAGCACAGACAAATTATTTTGTTAGAGCTCGGTAGCAATTGCATATGGAAATTGAAGAATCAGGAAAGATTGAGTTTAATGGCTAGACAACCAAGAAAGATGAGAACCTTTATGTGTAGTAAGGAAATACATCTGGCTCTTTTATTATTGATTTTAATTATGGAGACTCCAAAAAAAGATTTCTTTTAAATTTTTATTTTTATTTTATGTGTATGTATGTATTGCCTCTATGTAGGTAAGTGCACCCTTGTTGTGCAATGCCCGTGGATGTCAGAAGAGGCTGTCAGATCTTCTGGACTAGAGTTACGGAGAGTTGTTAGTTGCCATGTGGGTGCTGGGATTTGAACCCAGGTCTTCTGCAAGAACAGTGTTCTTAACTGCCAAGCCATCTGTCCAGCCCCAGATTTCCTTTTTTTGTTGTTGTATTTAGACTTTTTGAGACAGGGTCTCCCTGTAGCTCCAGCTGACCTGGAACTTGCTATGTAGATTAGGCTGGCCTTGAACTCACAGAGCTACCCCTGCCTCTGCCTCCCAAGTACTAGGACTAAAGGTGTGTGCGCCACCACACCTGGCTATTTTTAGACAATTTTACACATGTAGGCAATACCTACTGGCCACTTTCTCTGCCAACTCCCCACAACCCGTGTCACCCTCTCTTCTATATCATATCTGTTTCTAATTTTAGTGTCTAATCAAAAAACTAATTTATTTGAAAAAGTATACATGGTTTTGTTGTAGGTCATGTAAATCAGTTTGTATGAGACTAGAACAGAGATTTATCCTTATAATAGATCTTGGTGTTTGTGTCTCAGGATTTAATTTCTTTCTTACATTTATTTTCATTTTAAATTTATTTTTTATTAATAAATTTTGTTCTTTGGCAATTTTATGCATGTATAGACTGTGTTCTGATTACTCACCCCAGCCTTTCTTACCTTTCACCCTTCCCAGCCCTACTTCTTCCCTACAAATCTCTTTACCATATTCATGACTTTTTGTTTTGTTTTGTGTCCTACCGAGTTTGACCATAGTCTCTGTGTTACCATGGGTTTGGAACTCCCAGCCCTAGTAGGTTCATCAGTGGTCACACCACTGTATACATTGCCTCTCCCTCTCCCAGAGTCTTTTGGGTACCACTAGTTCAAGCAGTAAGTGGCAGGGCCCCAAATGCCTTTCCCCCCATCTTTAGCTGACTGTTGGCTGGGCAGTTTTCTGTAGGTCTGGTGCCAGTAAGCACAGCTCTTGTGAATTCATGCTTATCAGGGCCTTGTGGTGCTTGGAAGATGACATTCACAGTCCTTCTGTCTTCCTGCTCTTATATTCCTTCTGTCCCCTCCTCTGGTAATCTTCAGCCATAAGGGGGTAGTGCAAATGAGGGCTGAGCCCTAAACTGTCACTTCTCAGCATCTTGTGCAACCAGTGGTCTCTGCATTGATCTCTGTTCACTGCACAGAAATGCTTCTCTGATTTAGGCTCAGTGTAGCACCTGTTGGTCTACGCCCTGTTGGGCTACCTGTGACGGGTCAGCAGGAGAGGGCTTCCAGCTGCAGATTTTTTAAACCTAAGTCTTTTGGGTATATCTTACCATTTAGCCTCAGTTTTTGAAATAAATTACTTTTCACAAACTTTTAACTTTAAATTAGGTGAATAGTTTTAATTTATCCTATTGAAATATAAGGAATCAGATTTTTTTTTCCTCTTGGAATTTTGTATTCTGTTTAATTTTCTTGATTATTAGTGAACAACATGTTCTAAAAGGAGCTGGAAAAGTCTTAACTTTAATGTGATAAATTTGTATTGTCTTCAATTTAAATGAATTACTTGTTCAGAATCCTTTATTTTGCCCCTGTAAGCAGTAAATTCTTAATGGGATTTTGTCCTGAAAATTAACTGCAAATAGAAATTATTTAATATTGGAAGCTCCCATTTTTTTTTCTTTTTTTTTAGAGACAGGGTCTCCCTGTAGCCCCAGCTGGCCTGTAACTGACTATGTAGACCAGGTTGGCTTTGATCTCATAGAGATCCACTTGCCTCTGCCTCCCTCTGCCTCCCAGGTGCTGAGTTTAAAGGCATGTGCCACCATACCTAGCAACTCCCAATCCTGTTCCCCAAATGCCTGCTACAAAGATGTATTCAGTTTTTTTCCCTCCATAGTACTATGTAGATATTTTCAAAGACTGTATGTTTTCCTGTATCTCAAGCACCATCTCTGATGCTGCAGTGTCAGCTCCTGTCTCCAATACCTCACCTTTTTATTCACTAGGCTTCAATTGTTGCAAGTAACCAGACATGCATTAGAGGCTTGGCCTTGCTGTATTGTTTTTCACCATTTGGGAGAATGAAAAGGAAGCTTTGTTCTACTAAAGTGGAGCCACTCTCCACTCTTCCCTTGGGTCATAGTGCTTTGAGTAGATTCTGATTGGACTCTAAGAAGTCTGCTTATGAAGTAGCCTTTCTGTGGGAATACAGAAATTCAATTTTGCATTTCATTGCTGATTTTTTTTTCTACTTCAGTGGTTAGCAGGTCAGAAAATAATGTCCAGCAGAAAAATGAAAAAAGTACAAATTAAATGTTCTGTGGGAATCGTTCATGTAGGCTATAATGGGAACACTTTACCAGAGGCTATGTGGGCAGAATGTTAGAATGAAAGCCTCCCACCCATTGTAGCACCTCTCGGAGGCTTGTGGCAATGGGGAACATCTAGGGTGAGACCACTGGAGAACGTTGCCTTCAGGATTTGGATGCAGCCACCATCCCATTTCTCCTAGTTGTGACATTTGCAGTCTTCTATTCCATTCGCTCCTTCAGTATTCTTTACAAATAACATTTTTTTTCTTTCTATTTAGTAATTTTAAAAAAGTGTTCACGCCGAGCATGGTGGCACATGCCTTTAATCCCAGCACTCAGGAGGCAGAGGCAGAAGGAGCTCTGTGAGTTAAAGGCCAGCCTGGTCTACATAGCAAGTTCCAGGCCAGCTGGGGTACAGTGAGACCCTGTCTCAAAACAAAGGTGTTTATAGGTTATTTTATAAAAGGACATCTGATTCTCATAAATGCCTCATTCAAACTATTATTCAGATTTTGCCTCTTAGTAGTTTATTAAATAATGATTCAAAGAATTGAAATAGTGTTAATAGCATTGTTACTTTAAAATTTGCAGGTACGATATGAAGCTTTACAAACATTATGTTCAGCTCCTCCATCTGATGTCCTGAACTGTGAAAACTGGACCACTCTCTGTGAAAGACTGACCATGTCTCTCTCTGATCCAGATCCTGTGTTTAATGTGAGGAAATGGATATTGAAATGTTATCCCAGATCCAAATGGAATATGCTAGTCTTTCTTAACAGCAGCTTAACTGTGGAGTTTCAGTGTCGGTTTAGACCATCAACATACCTGTCTTCAGGAAGCACTGTTTGTAATTTCATTCAAAGTGTGCTCAGTGTCACTTTTTGTTGCCAAATACTAACTCTTAGCTTTGTGCACTTTGGTTTGTCTTTTTTTTTAAATAAATAATTTATTGAGCATTTCATATATGCATATAAGGTGTTTTGATCAAATCCGTGCCCACTCCCTCCCCTCCAGATCCTCCCATATCTCCCCATCACTTTTTTCTGATAACTTCATATATTCTTTCTTATTTGATTTATTTATTTTTTTAATGAGGCTTTTGGCTACTCTAACATTCCCCCCTCTGAAGAGGTAACCCTCAAATCTTTTAAGGATTAGATAAAAGCTCCCAAATATTTTCGACATTTTTGGCCTTTGGAATGGAGTATGTTGCTAAGAGGCTCAAGGACATTGTTAGTTTTAGCAAAGAAACTGGCTACTTTTCTTTGGGGTCTTTGTAATCTAACTGCCTAGCCATTTCCTACCTCCTATTCTTATCACACCATCCTCTGAAGAGGTTACCCAAATCGCCAATAGGGAATAGGGACACAGACTGATCTGGCTTCTTCCATGCTGAACAGGGACGCAGGATGAGGCAATTGGCCTACCCCTTCAGTGGGTCTATCTAAAAGACTCCCAAATTGCATAACTCTTATCTCGAGGGGGAAAAGAAAGTTTCTGAATCGTGAATAGGAGATGTGAACGAAAAGTAAAGGCAAGAGCAATTAGCATTACAAGTTCTAGACAGGGAACTAGAAAAAAGTCAGAATAGGGCAGTTTCCTAATGGTCATATGAGAGTCCATTGGAATTTCTTGACAAGGGCTTCCAAAAGCATCCCTCTGCTAGGTTCCTCCTCATTT